GGTCACTGGGATTATAGCAGCAACATGTCATGCCAAGGATTGCAGTACATTGTAGACCTGGAAGATGAAATCGCTCTGGAAGGACTGGATGGAATTACCTTGGAAGGTAAACTGTAGAATATATTGTTGAGTTTGTATAATCAGTTTTGGGGAATGTAGATAATGAGAAATATGATTATTGTATATTCATTGTCTTCATCCGATCTGCCTATTAGTGTGCTCATATCATTCTGTCTAGTTATTTTATGTGTCTGTATCTCAGATTCTCTCTCTCTCTCTCTCTCTCTCTCTCTCTCTCTCTCTCTCTCTCTCTCTCTCTCTCTCTCTCTCTCTCTCTCTCTCTCTCTCTCTCTCTCTCTCTCTCTCTCTTACACACACACACACACACACACACACAAAAAAAAAAAAAAAAAAAAAAAAAAAAAAAAACTTACACAAAACACACTCACACGTATGTGTTCCAGCGTAAAATTATATATCCAATCTCTTCCCCTCCCTCCCCCGAAGCACTATGGACTCGCCTCAAACAACGGCCCAACTTCGAGGGCAACATGCCCATTGACAGCGACAGTAAGGCGTTTTTGTGGTCCCTTATAGTCCAGGATGAGGAGATCTCCCTCTTCCAGCTGCCGACGCCAAGAGAGAAGTTGGAGATATTCAACCGGTGAGAGCATTAGGGTCTGAGTGAGAGGGGGGGGGGGGCTTGTTGTTAAGGGCAGTTGTTGCGGTAGGAATTGTGTAGAGGGTAGAGGCTAGGGGAGTTTTACTTTGTTATTATTGTTATTGTGTATAATGTACTATCATTATCTTTATGATTATTATGATATTATTATTATTATTATTGTTATTGTTGTTATTGTTATTGTTATAATTATTATTGTTATTATTATTGTTGTTATTGTTATAATATTATTTTCATTGTTATTATTGTTGTTGTTATTATTATTATTGTTATTATTATTGTTATTATTATTTTTATTATTGTTATTGTTGTTATTGTTATGATAGTATTTTCATTGTTATTTTTGTTTTTGTTATTATTATTATCATTAATATTATTATTATTATTATTATTGTTATTATTATCATTATTATTATTAATATTATTATCATTATTATTATTATTATTATTATTATTATTATTATTACTATTATTACTAATATTATTATTGTTGTTATTATTATTATTATTATTATTATTATTATTATTAATATTATTGTTATTGTTATTATTATTATTATTATTATTATTATTATTAACAACCCATTGCCGCCGGGGAAATGCAGTACTCATTTTTTATATTTTTGTGAAATATCTTTATCCATAGATGGCTCTGCTAGTCCTGATTTCCCCTTTCCTTGAATTGGCGGGAAAAAACGTATTTTTACTAGTGCTATAAATATAGATGGTGTTATTTTTAACAGCAAATTAGTATAACGTTAAATATTTTCGTAAATCGATGAAAAGGGTGAACGGGCGAGACAGGTAGTACTCGTAATTGGCTCACTGGTGACTTAGTACAAGTGTAGCCATCTATGTGTAAAAACATTGTATATGATAGACTGTCATAGATTACCTAAATTCATAAATGTGCACATATATAATTTTTTAACCCCCCCCTCCTAAAAGCTATGAACACATGGACCCCGAGCTGGGCATCGTGCTGGAGCCGGAGGAGGAGCCGAAAGACATCTACCCGTTCCACCCCGTAGAGGACGAGAGCGAGGGCGTGCGAGGGTCGTGCAAGATGTTCCACGAGCGCGTCAACGTGTCTGAGTCCGCCTCGTTGCTGACCCTGGCGGAGGTGGAACAGGAGTAAGGGATCCTTGGAGTTTGTTGTTTTGTTGTTGTTTTTTCTTGTTTGTAGAATGTATTTGTAGATATGTATTTTGTACCTAGTTGTTGTTATTTTTCCTTGTTTGTAGATACAGATAGTCCCCTACTTAAGAACATTCTACTTATGAACATTCCATACATACAAGCAAAATTTTTTAAGTACTAAAGTCTAAAAAATTGTTTGAAAGATGCTAGCAAACTTCAAATTTTCTGGGCACGAATATAGTTGAAGAGTCTGGTACTGTATAATGTATGTCGTACTTATTGGGATTTATTTACAGGTATTCTTAATGTAAACAAAACTTTAAAACAATGGGAAAAAAGGTAATGGAGACCCGACTTTCGACATACAAACAAATCAACTTACAAACAGCCTCTCGGTCCCCATTATGTTCTTAAGCTGGGGACTTACTGTATATATTTTGTACCTAGTTGTTGTTATTATTGTTGTTGTTGTTGTTGTTGTTTGTGAACTGAGCTGGTAACACTGTATGTGGGAGGAGTTTGAGAGAACAAGGAGCAGTGAACAGATGAGAATGCTCTTAATTCCAAAGTGGATAACCAATTATTATAACAGTAACTTGTCCCTCACACACTGGTACCATAAAAGTAAGAAAAGTCTTTTTATTGAGGTGAAGATTCACTTACCAGATTGATGTTGATTAATGAGTTCGACAGGTTGGCAGTGACTGGTGACAGGTTAACGGATTAGTGATGACTGATGACAGTGTGACATATTGGTAATGACATGACAGGTTAAGGTGATTGCTGACAGTTTGATAGGTTAAAGATGATTGATGACAAATTTACAGGTTGGTGATGATCAATGACAGTTTGACAAGTTGGTGATGACTGATAACAGATTGATAAGTTGATAACGATTATGGCAGGTTGACAGGCAATTTGATAGGTTGGTGATGCTTGATAACAGGTTTGGGATAGCACACATATGCAGGTGTTAAAGTTATTTTCTTTTTACTGAATAGTTGTATAATCTTTGAATTATTTATTTGATTGGCTTATTTTTTATATATCAATGTAGTGTGTACATTAACCCTCTGAAGATAGAATAATGTCCTATCAGATCATGGTAGTTCATGGAAAGATGATATCACACCAAGGCACTGGGGGCTCCCTTTATCATTGGGCTAAACTTTTTAAACATTTATATTAGGGTCTGTTGATACTTTAGTGTACAGGTTTAAAATTTTTGTATTTTGATTTGCAAGATATGTATATGAAATATAGATTTAATTTGTTTTTATATGAATAATCTTCTTCTTCTTGCTTTGATAAGACCAGATCTCCTTGGAATTAGCAGGCAAAGAAGAGTACCTGTGTCTATCTTCTACCATAGATGTACAAAATATCTAAATATTACAGATAGACTTGCTGATTCCATTCAACAAAAATATTATCACAAGCACCAGATACTGACTATATATCCCTTCACAACCAGGTATGGAGAGAAGCTGGTGCTCGTGGCCAGCCAGATGCTGAGAAACAAGGCCCTCTGCATCTCCGCTTGCATCGACAAGTTCTACGACCTGACGCTTACTCAGTACATCATTCTGGAGCGCATTGGCCGATCTCGTCGCATGGGGGAAATCACACAAGGGAAGGTAGGATGGTTTGTGTTCGTCTGTGGGAGATTAGGTTGGGTTTGTTTGTAACTGTGAGTGTGATAGATATGTTTTTGTATAAGTTTTGGCAAATGTGATATGATAATGTAACTGTAATTGGGATGAATTTATTTCAACTATAATTGAGACAAGGATATCTTTGAGGACTGAAAAAAAATATTAGTGGTGTGATTGTTATTGATTTAGATCCAAAAGGATTTTTTTGCTTTGTAGAGCAAGAGGGAAATTGTACTTTCATGTACCTTCAAGAATAAGATTTTGTGAAAGAAACACTATAGGAAATAAAGTAGATTTAATAGTATAGATATTATTTTGATCCATAAAGAGGTTTTGTTTTGATTTTGATGTCAGTTACTGAAGTTTTTTTTTTCTTTTATTGTGCATTTAAACAGAGAAAATAAGAGTAAAGGACAGAAAGTTAAGAGCATCCTGTGCACTTAGGAAAAGTTTTTCTTTTGTTTTCTTTTCTTTTGAGGGTGCTGTTGTGGTACATAATTATTTCATTTCAAATTGTTCTAGTGTGGATATATATGATGCTCCTAATATGCACATTTTGGGGGCAGAAGGCAAGTTTTATTATGTGTAAAATCTCTTTCTCTATCAGAGGTGAATATTGCTTTTCCAAAGATGGAATCAGTCTCACTCTTCATCCAATTGGCACAGATGACAAGAATACATGCCATGCTGTTTTAATATAAATTTATTTATTGTATTTACGCATATATGGCTTTACAAGTACTTAGGCACCAAGGAGTTATTAGTCCTACCTATATCACCTGGAAAGTGCCTTTTGCATTATTTCACTGTCTTTCATATTACCAAGACTTTAATAACAATTTAATAATCCTAATATCAGTAATAATAATAAGAGTATCAAGAGTATCAAGTATCAAGAGTAAAGTCCTAAATGAACAAAATTGCAACCTGGTTTTCCCTAATCCCCCAGATCAGCTTAGCAGCCATGGGCGACAACCCAAAATCGATGTTCTACCACCGCAAGCGTCTGCTGAAGCTCAACCTGATCACCAAACAGCCACACCAGCAAAAGGGGAACAAGGGACAGACCTACAAAAACACATTTTCCTGCCAGTTCAAGGAATAGGGAAATCAGGATCAGTCACTAGGGCCTACTGCTAGACTCCTTGCTGATTGAGGACATGTGGAGCCATCTGTATGTAAAAAAAATCACAAAAAACTACAGGGGATAGTACTTAAATCTGTGGTGATTGGGTTAATAACTGAAGTAAAAAAAAAAAAAAAAAAAAAAAGAGTAAAGTCCTAAATGAACAAAATTGCAACCTGGTTTTCCCTAATCCCCCAGATCAGCTTAGCAGCCATGGGCGACAACCCAAAATCGATGTTCTACCACCGCAAGCGTCTGCTGAAGCTCAACCTGATCACCAAACAGCCACACCAGCAAAAGGGGAACAAGGGACAGACCTACAACGGCTCTCTGCTGCATCTCACAAGGTGTGTGTTGGGCTTTTTGCTTGGGGTGACGGCCAAGGGTTGTTATTGTATTTTTTTCTCTTATCATTACTGTTTTTATATTCCATTATTGTTATTAGTTATGAGTTATATTTTAATAATCATGCCTTTATTATGTTATTTCTGTTTTAATTTTTTTTTTTCATGTGGTATTTTTTTTATTCATATTCATGGTTTTTTGCATTATTTTTTAAAATTATTTTCATAATGCATATGTCACTGCAGGTATGTAGGAATGAAGACTTGAGTTTTATTTTTGATTTATATGAAAGGTAAGATGAATTAAAATAGGATATATTTTTTAAAGAATGAGGAATGCATTACCAGCAAATATGCGTGGGAGAGGAATTAGATTTATGGCATTGACTATTGTAAAATTCATGTCATTTGCAATATATATCTTATTTAATTTATAGTATATAAAAGGATTAGTTTTGGTGAATTACTTTTGTTATATATTTTTAATGCATTGTGAAATATGCTTTCATCATCAATCCAAAAATAGATACTGTGTGTTTTAATGTAAGCTTAAAATTGTTTTTAGTAGCTAGGAATATTATTTTCTGGAACTATTGTCTGGGGATAAAGTAGAGTGACCAGTATTTATAAACAATCAGACTCAAAACTTGAAATGTGGTAAGGCATGCAAATGATGGCTCGGAAGGGATATTGTTTGAAAAAGATCTATATATTGGAAGATTACACACGAAAGAGAAAACTTTTATTTGAGATAAAAATCATAATTGCAAAAGGTATTATTTAGCACATGAAACAAAAAAGGAAAAAAGCTTCTCAATTCCCTCTCGATTTCAGGTTTTATGTTGAGAGGCGCTCAAAGTTCATCATGATGATCCAAAGGGCAGTGGAGATCCTGAAGCTGAAACCAGGGTATTGTGCTCCTTATACCGCCGTCAAGGAAGAGATGGGAATGCCGGAGACCTCTTGCAGAAAGCTCTTTAAGAGTACGGAATTCCAGAGGTATGCCAGTGACAAGTGGACACAAGAATATTGTTTGTGTTAAGGGTTTGCTCCATGTCTAATTTTACTTTATTTTACTTTTTTGTTGAACATTATTATATACTTGGGAACAGTAAAAATGATTATGAAGATTTGAAAAAAGTCATAAAAATTTAAAGGTATAAACAGGTGAAGTCAGGTGGGCTTAGCAATTGACTCTGGTTACTAAGTGTTTGTGGATACATTTATGTGTTAAAAAGATTGATAAATAAAACGAAACCTTAGTGAGCAATGCATGTATACAAGGATCCTGATATCAGAAGGTTAAATCCTCCTCTAAGCCCCATCTTGCCGCCTCCTTTTCCAGATACATAAAGAACGTGACGGCCCCTTATCGCAAGGTGTACCCAGATGCCTCCCCCTCTCAGTGGCGTTGTAAGGGCAAGGATGCTGAGAAGTTTGTACGTATTATGGAGCTGATCAATCCCAAGATCGACCCTATGGAGGTGTGCAAGGCAGAGGAGGTGGCCGAAGAAGATGAGGAAGATGATTCCTATCCAGGCATACTCGACCAGCATAGGGTGAGGCGTTGGGTGGGAGGCAGTGATTGGGGAAAGTGTGGGTTCATCAGCTAACAAAACAATCACTTCTGTCACCTCTAATTCAGTTCATCCACAAAAATGAATGGTAATTTCGAAATCTACAGATCAAAATCTACTCTGTGAGAATTGATACTTTTTTCAGTATCCATTTGGCATAAGGTATAATTTGTCTTGTTTTCAACTGTGTGCACCAAAATATAGTACACACTTTCTCTAGGGATTAAAGAGTTTGTATCATTTATTAGCTTTTTATTGTGTTTGGTCTGTAGAAGGATGGATCTTGTGTGGTTTACTAAGCTTGATTAATTGTAATTCTTTTATAGCAGGTTTATTCTGTCTGTTCTGGATATTTTTATTTTAGAAAAGAAAGAGAAATGATCTGTCAGGTGTTTTTAAAGAAGATGTAAACAAGAGATTATTTATTCTCTGTTTAGTGTAGTTTTGTTGGATAGGCATGTGTTCGGAATTTTGAAATTAGGGGATCCTGAAAATGTGGTCCAGTTTGTGAGCTGTGAGGCATTCACCAGTCAGTACTCAGCAGTGAGCCATGAGATATGCCAGCTGTTAGCCATTCAGGATGTGGCTGCTGTGGCATGGCTTAACCTGGCTAGTATGCAATGTGTGCAGGTTGTGGTTAAGGCTAGTAATGATTAGTTGATATTTATTACCATAGAGAGTTAGTTATTCCTTTTTTATTGGAGTAGCATAGCACAGAACCCTTTATGAGTGAAATTTTACAACAAAGTTTAAGAACTTAATATTTCTTTTAATTACTGCATCAAAAATATAAAGCTTGTTATTTGAGGGACCAAAACCGACGAATCAGACCAAACAAACTACCCCCCACAGTCCTCTGCTTTCTCTCTTGGGCACCCCTAAGGCAAACACCCCTTCTCCCCCATACACAAACCCAACCCTAGAGGCAAAATTTCCACTTTCCATCTGTAAGGCTGGACATTCCATCTCTTCTCCTTCAGGTGGTCTGGGGCATTGGTCTCCTCCAGCAGGCCTACAAGGTAGTGGAAGAGGCAGGACCGGAAGGAGTGTCACAGTCAGACATGGCCCGCCTCTTGGGACAAACCAAGCTCGACTCGCGCACCATCTGCCGCAACCTCCAGCGCAGGAACACAGTGCACTCGCTCATGAAGGATGTAGGGAGGCAGCGTGTGTCACGGTATGTGTCACATAAGTTCGCGCGGACGGGACACCTCACCCAGGAGTTCCGCAAGGAGAGGCAGAGAATGATGGCCATGATGGAGGCCAATAAGGCAGAAGTGTGTGGGCCATCTACGTCAAAGGAGGTTAGTAACAATGGATTTTTTTCCCCTTGATCTGCTCAGTTTTCTTTTTTTCTCTTAGCCTGTTTTTCTCTCTGTTTTTCTCACTCTCTCTAAGTTTTTTTCTCTCTCTGTTTCTTTCTCTCTGTTTCTTTCTCTCTGTTTCTCTGTTTCTTTCTCTCTGTTTCTCTGTTTCTTTCTCTCTGTATCTCTCTCTCTCTCTCTCTCTGTTTCTTTGTTTCTCTGTTTCTTTATCTCTGTTTATCTGTTTCTTTCTCTCTATTTCTCTGTTTCTTTCTCTCTGTATCTCTCTCTCTCTCTCTCTCTCTCTCTCTCTCTCTCTCTCTCTCTCTCTCTCTCTCTCTCTCTCTCTCTTTCTTTCTTTGAAATTTCTCCAAATCATCCTCACTCATCACGCCTGTCTCCCCTCTTGTGATCAGGGAGAGGTTTCCCGCGTCTTGGAGTCAAATTCCCTGGAAGGAGTGGAGGTGGGGCTGGAGATGCTCACAGGAGGCAGAGTCAGCATCCCCAAATCAAAGGGGATGAACTTAGACACTTCCAGCCTCGTCAAGGAAGCCGACCAGAGCCAGAAGAAACGGCAGAGCAATGACGACGATGGAGACGGCAAGAATAAAGGGTGAGGTGTTGTTGTCTTGTGAATATTTTATTATTTATGTTTTTGCATTATTATTATTTTTTTTTTTTTAGCAATATCTTGTTCGAAGTTGATTGGTTGTGTCACCTTAAGATACATTGCTGTGCTAACCAACTAATGGATTTTTAATGCAAAGCTTTATTGATTTTTTTTCACACAAAGCGTACATCCTTTTTTCTGTCAAGTTCATATAAAGCTTGTAATTGGTAAAATAGTCCATAAACCAGTACACCTTGTCTCTAATGAATGTTAGGTTTGACCCAAGGTTTCCCTAGACCCACAGAGTCACCCTCCCAGGAAACTTTGCATTCCCGAGTCCCTCTGCAGATTGACTGGTTAATAGGCCATGGATTTTTATTTCCTCACATTCTATTTTCCACAGTCTTTATGATCTTCATCTTTCTACTCAATTTATCACACTCCTCCTTCCACCATCTTCACCTCCACCCATTTTACACCCCTGCAGCTTCGTCCGAATGCTGGAGGAGATCCGGCTGACGTACAACAACCAACGGAGGAACTCGCCTCACGTCACGACGCGCATGATGAAGCGAGCCAACATGATTATTGAGACTGTCGGCTCGATCAAAGTCATTGATGATGCTTTCAAGTTGCAGAAGATGATTGTGCAGGTTGGCTAGGTCATTTTGATGGTTATTGTAATAGATCTTTTTATATTGATAGGAAAATAGTGATATTTGATAAATTTGGTGTACATTGATGTGTGTTTGATATTGAAAAAAATTATGTTTGATGGAAGTTATAATGTTTAATGCTGTGAATATATATTTAATACTGTAAGTATGTAATATTTAATATCTTGTGGTATGAATTGATTTTATATTGACAATATGTGAGATAAAGAACCATTCACATATTGCATACATAATATCTAATGTTGCAAACAAAGAAGTCCAAAATTTGTAAACGTATAACACCCATATCCCAGGCGGAATCTGAAGAAGGCTACGCAGTCAAGATGGACAAGAAGAGCCTGAACCGCCTGCTGGACAAGCTCTCCAAGGGCGGCTTCGTCAAGAACATCATCGTCAAGCTCAAGTGCAACACCATGGTCAAGGTGGTGCAGTTTGTGGTTCATCCTAGCATCACATTTGGTAAGTGGCTTCGTTCCTCTGTGGACTGGCAAAAGGGTTGATTATTTCACTATTCCTTCTATATCTATTAAGTAATGTGATTGAATGTACTAAACTAATCTATTAGATGGAACCAAGAAAAATTATTTTTATCAGACTAAACTTTTCTATTTGATGGAACCAAACTAATTTATCTATTTAATTTGAGCACAATATTCCTTTGAAATGAACAAAGCTAATCCATTTGATTGGACAAAAGTAACTTTTCATTTTAACCAAATCAATGCATTTTCTTGAACCAGACCAATCCACTTAATTTCACCAAACTAGAATATTTGGTTATTCAATCAAGCATGGAATCTCTGTGGACCATTTTGATCCACTAACCTCAACTATTTCCCCGTCCAGAGAGCCCCCACCTCAAGTCAGCCATCGAGCAACAGAAACTCAAGTTCCTGGCCTCGGCACCCGACACCAAGCGGGAGGCAGAGGGAGGAGGAGGGGGGGGAGGGAGTGGCACTGGGAAGGGAGGAGCAACAGGAGGTCCAGAAAGCACCAAAGTCAAAGTCAAAAGTGAAAGCTCGGCAAGCAAGATGGTGAAGAAGGCCATGAGCGAGGACAACGAACGCATGAACAAGAGCTCAGTTGGGGCCAGCATGCAAGAGCTGAAACAGATGCACCAGGTGTCAACCACGGCTGTGCCAGCACCTGAGGTCGAAGCAGGTGTAGCTTCAGCTGTGGTGAAGAAGGTTAGAAATAAAAACAATAATTTATGTTTATTTATAAAGGGTTTATTGTTATTGTGTTAATAAGAGGGATATATATATATTTTTTTTAAGTTACAAATGATCTAAATTTTATGTATGAATAATGTAAGCAAATTATATGTTTTTTGAAAATTGAGGTGTTGAATATCATTTTTAAAAGGATTGTTCAATACTTAAAGAAGCTTTTTAATATAGTCAATAATTACTATGTTATTCTACATGAAATTCAGTATCCTTATAAGAGATATCACCTAAACACCAACCAAACAATACTTAACTTGTGAACTAGATATCCCTCCAGTCTTATCAGTCTGCAGCCAAGAAAGCAAACAGTAAATAACATGGTGACCTTACATGGCCCCAAGTCCTCACACTTTACCCCCATCCCCACAGGAGGCTGGTGTGAAGGGGAGCCTGGGACCGAAATTCGTCCGCATGTGCGAGCTCCACAAGCTGCTCTTCTACCTTGTCTATGGTTACTCTGGGAAAGAGGACATGGATCAGGTGGAGGCATGGCAGACTATAGCCTCTTCTTCGCCTGAGGCCCAGATCCATGCAGAGGACCTCTCAGCTTACCCAATGGTTTATTATGCTGAACTCTCATGGAAGTAGGTCCTCAAGCATTGTCGGTTTCTCTTCTTTTTTTCTTCTTCTTTGGGGTGTCTTCTTCTTCTTCTTCTTCTTCTTAGAAGAGTAATAAAAGCTTCTAAACCTGAGATATCCAGAAAATCATTAGATTTAGTGGAGTTAGACAAAAGTATTGAGATGTACATGTCTTTGTGTATTATGCAGAAAAGAATGTTAGATGTATTCATATAACATTTATTATTTTCTCTTGACCTCATTTTGTTATGTATGTACAGTCACACACATTTAGAAATACAGTTATTATAGAATATTTTGTCTTCCAGAATGTTTATCCCACCACTGCCAAACCACATGAACTCAGAAAGCGGCTGGGCCTTTGTGTGCGATGTGCTCCTCCGGCTGCCACTTTGCATATTCGTCCGTCTTGTCAGCATCTGCCACTATTCGAGCGAGATCGATGCCTTCATGAACCATCCCATCAAGAGGAACCTGCTGGTGAAATACCTCCCACCGCACCTCCGCCAAGCCCTTCTGCAAGGACGGCGTTATGTCACTTATGTGATTGACCTGATCAATCGCCTGTGTTATGTGGGTGGGTAGAACGTACAGGTTAACCTTTGTAGTGTCAGCATGTTGTTTTCCATGTGAAAAAGGATGAAAGTATTTTCATTAAAGGAAAAACAAATTCTCTATTAAGGCACAATGAATTTAGACATAATATTCTCTAAACGTCTGTTTCCTACATGTGCCTTCCTTAATATATCCTTGCTCTCCAAATGTTAATACCCAGAAATATATATGTACATAAGGTAATAATAATCTCTACACAAGTACATCATTATTATACATATACTGACTCTACACTTATTCTCTCAAGGCCTGCTCCAGTATGGCCACCAGATCATGAAGGAAAAAGACCAGGTGTTCATCTATGTCAATCGCCATGCCAGCCTCATTGACACAACCACTTCGGGCCCTGGATACCACCAGATCTCGGCCGACAAGGAATATGTCCGGAAGGAATACTACTTCTCTTGCTTACAGGATGTGCTTCAGTACTGGTGAGTGGTTAGGTAGAAGTTTGATATTAATGTCACTTTTGTTGCTGTAGTTGTTAGTTAATGTGTTTTCTTGAATTTGTCTTTCTTTTTTCTTTCGTTTGGATTTTGTTTGTCAATAACTTTATCTTTGTCTATAACAGGTAATGATTGTATATCAGAAGGGTGATGCATATTGTAACAGTAAATATTTGTAAGAGATCTCATTAAAACTATGTTCCAGGTATGACATGTGGACCATCTCAATGCACACACCTCTTGGCGGCCACAACTGCATGCAAGGGAAGAAGATTACAATACAAATTTTGGACCGCAAACCTCAGATCATTGAGTCACTCACTGCACGCAGTACAGAAGAGGCTCCAGCAAGGTACCCACAATTCTCTCTTTCTCTCTCTCTCTCTCTCTCTCTCTCTCTCTCTCTCTCTCTCTCTCTCTCTCTCTCTCTCTCTCTCTCTCTCTCTCTCTCTCTCTCTCTCTCTCTCTCTTACTATTCTTGTCTCTTTACTTCTCTTCTATTCACTTCCCTTCTTCATTCTCATCTTTCTCTTACCTTCTTTTTTCTCCTCTTCCCTTCTCTCTTCTCCTCTCATCTCCTCTCTCCTTTGTTTTCTTCTCTCCTCTCCCTCCTTTTCTCTCCTTTCCTCCTGAGACCCAGAATTATGTAATTTTAGCCAAGGATTCCAACCATCTTGACAATGTTGCCATAAAAAGTATCTGACATTAATAATCATTGCAATGAATTGTCATTCAGATAGAAAAACAATCACTATAAGATTTATTACCATGAAGAGACATTACTATAAAAAAAGTTGCAGCATATCTTTTATGATATCCTCCCTCCTCCAACAGAGACAATGGTAGCATCCCAGGTGATGGCCGAGGGGCAGGAGGACTCGACTCTGCCATGTTTGCCCATCTGAAGCGCAACTGGTCCTCGAACTCAGGTCACTCGGCTTCAGCAAGACCCTCGGCACTCCTGCCACCCAATACTGAGGGCGGGGAAAGGGCCACGTATGAAGGGACGATCTCATACACACAGTACCTGATGAACACGACACACCCCTCAACAGATAACACTTCAGCCAAGCCCCGACTGGCTGGTTTGCGGAATGTCAAGCTATCTGTATATAAGGTAGGGAGGGGATCTGGGAGGATTGAGAGCAGGTGAGGGGAACGGGGGAAATGAAATACAGAGTTAAAAGGAGGAGAGAGAAAGAGAAGTATTATGGAATATATGATATTTGTGAAGAGCATCAAATAGTGAAGATTTTTTTTTTATTATTTGACTTAATGCACTTTATGTAGAAGATCAGTGTAAAAGATTGGTATCATCCTTTTTCATTGGTATGCATAAACTGTTTGCATGTTATGATGAGCAAAGGAGACCTGGTGCTACTAAGGTTCATTGGACTTCAGGCTGACACACACACAAGAAATTTGACTATGAACTTACAATTCAAACTTTGTCACAGTTGATCAACACTATAGAGAAAGCTGTACATTACAATTCTTGATTTAAAGCACAGTCGAACAGATGAAGAGCTGAAAGAGTGAATTGTATACATGTACATATATCTATATATACAAGATTTGCATAAAGCACAGTTGCATACAGATTGAATAAAACAAAAAAGACCTCCCCACATATAACCACCATTCCCCCCACTGTCTGTAGCCTCGCATGGGGACTGACGGCAAGACCCTGGAGATCCCCGTGGGCATGGTCCCTCGAGCTCCACGAGGACGCAAACGCAAGCGAGAAGGCGCGTCGACATCAGAGTCCGAGACTCCTCCTGTCAAGTAAGTTCTTAATTGTTATCGGAGGGATGTGAGTTTTTGGCCAGGAGGGTAGTTCTAAATTTATTGTGAGGTTAGTTTTACTGTTCTTTTATTGATTTTTTGTTATTCATTATTATTGTACTTTTTACTTTTATGTTTGTATATATTTATCTATTAATTGTTATGAAATATAAGGTATGTCTAGAATATGAATATCAGAAGTATTGAGCAGCACGGCATACATATGTTTATACTTGTATTAATGTGCGTTGTTTTTTTGTTTTTTTTTAATAGGCCAAAAAATTATAGAAGATTTTTGTATGCATTTCATCTTATAGTTTCGTACCTTAAGAAAAAAAAAACTTTTTAAAAAATAAAAAAATTTCTTTTTTCTTTTCCTTCCTTGTTATTGTATCTTATCACTCTCATTTCTCCCATTCTTTTTTCCAGGTTGAAGCGAAGCGGACGGCAAGGCAAGAGTAATAGGCCGGCCAGTTACCAACGGGAACTAAAAATGCGCAAAAAGTCTCCCAAGAAACCTTACTATGATGAAGAAGATCGTGCAGCCCTACGGAGGATGAATAAACTGTGAGTCTGGTTGTAAAGTCTTTATTTGGAGATGTGAGGAAGGGGGGGGGGGGGGTATTTTCTCTTTGTCTTGTTCTTCTTTTTTAGTTTATGGCATTAGATGTGATATGTGATATTTGGTGAGAGTCCTTCTCAATACTTCAGATTAGATGATAAATAGGTTCACTTAAAATCATTAACAGTAATAAAAGAGTGAGATCAGTAAGAACGAAGTCACAATAAGAATACAAGTATTAATGTTATTTATCTGTATTTATCAATTTGTCTGTCTCTCCCTCCCATCCTTCACCCTCTCTCCCTTCCTTACCCCTCTCTTACCCCTCCTCCTCACCCCTCTCTTACCCCTCCTCCTCACCCCTCTCTTACCCCTCCTCCTCGCCCTAGACGAGTCGACTGGTCCTCCGCCGAAGACTCGTTCCTGCTGCTCTGCAAAGTGGCCTCCTGTTTCCTCTTCCCGAACATCCGGAGCCAAATGATCACCTTCAGCCTCGTAAGAGATATGCTGCACGAACGCTTCCCGGAGTCCCTCAACAAGACCTCGCGTGCCTGCCAGAGGAGGATCAACTACATCATGAAGAACCCGACAACGGAAGATAATGTGGCCATCTTCCTGGAGGAGGTGCGACAGGATCCGGGCATCGTGGCGGATTTTAAGGTGGGTTGGGTAGGGTCTGGTAGGGTTGGAAGCTTGGGGTTGTTTGACTTTTTTGTTTCTCTCTCTTTCTCTGTCTCTCTCTCACTCACTCTCTCTCTCTCTCTCTCTCTCTCTCTCTCTCTCTCTCTCTCTCTCTCTCTCTCTCTCTCTCTCTCTCTCTCTCTCTCTCTCCCCCTCCCCCCCCCCCTCCTCCCCCTTTCCTTTCCTTTCCTTTCTCTTTCTACATTTTTTTTCCTTTCTTTTTATTCTAGAATCTACATTAACTCATAATGCATTTGATATTTTATTTTATCTCTATTGGTATGTTCAGCAGGTATTAATAACTAAGAATGACTATCAAGCTAATTTATTTGCATATTTGTACTGAAAGAAATATTACAGAATATGTTTATAGATATGTATAGATGACTATTTAATTACTTGTTTTATCAAATATTTTTATAAAGGAATCCCCTCCTCTTCTCTTCCTTGCAGAGCCCAAGAGTGCCCCGCAACAAGAAGAACATTGAGAGCGTGTATGCCACTATGTTCCGTTCCCTCATGCAGCGACTGGTGGTGAAGTTTGCCTCGAGTGAGTCGCGACAGTGCCCCGACCTGCCGCCCTCCATTGAGGAGTTCCACCAGCGTTTCCGCATCATCATGGCTTCGTCCTCACTGCGCAACAAGCTCAAGTTCCGCCCGGTCGTCAACGTGTCGGATATCGATTTCCATATTGTCAATACGCTTATCTATGTAAGTGTTTGTAAGGGAGTATGTGTGTGCATATGTGTGTGTGGGAAAGAAGGATAGGGATGGGGTGGATCTGTTGTGATGAAGTACGCTGGTTATGTATAAGATGATTATTTCAGTATGTTTATGTTAACAGAAATACCAAATAGTATGCACTTGACACAGCCCATAGTTAGAAAATAAGATTGTGTGAAAGAAGGCTGTACTAACCATAAATTATTTCCTTTAAGATATATACCATCAGTTTCTCTTCTACCCCCACAGAGTTCACTTTGCTCCAAGCATGACCGCGAATCATATGCGTATCAGCTGTATCTGGCATACCAGCAGTACCCCCAGGCACTCCTCAATGCAGTTCTAACCCGTATGCGGCAAGACCAGATGATCAGCTACAAGAAGTGTTATAACAGGTCACAGGTGGCACAAACTTGCCTGCCACTATCCACCTCCCCTTTCCAGCTGTCAGTCACATATCATCACGTCTTTAATTTCAAGGTGAGGGGGTCAGGAGGTATACTTGTTTGGTTGTTTGTTTTGTTGATATTGTTTGGTTAGCTTATCTTGGTTTGTTTACTTTGTATTCTTTTCTCTATTTCTTTTGCTCTCTCTCCCATTTCCTCATTCTGTCCTATTCTTATATTATCTCTTTTCTCAAGTAAGTTGTTATCAGTTTTAAAGTCTTGCTTTTCCAGATTAATTTTACACTGACCTTTAACCTGTTAATTCTGCATTTCAGTACCAGTATGAGATCTATAGCCAGGCATGGCAGATGCTGAAGCAGCTGATTACAAAGAAGCATAAAGCCATCATTGAGAATGTGAGCTACAAGCAGAGTCTGAGAGAGGGCTGCCTCACTACAGAGGAGAAGACTGACATCACAGATAGCACAGCTGACGGACCTGCACAGGCTCCTGCTCCTACTTCTCACAAGGCCGAAAAAGTGATCGGCAGCATGGACATAGGCAGTGGATTCCAAGAGAAGGGCGTCCCGGTGGTGATTCTCCATGAGGGCGGCTACTGTGCCACCATCGTTGCCCTCCTGGCCACCAAACGCATCATCTTCGACATCACCATCCCGGAGCAGATCATCATGATGGACCAGCAGCAGCGCTTAATGGAGGACCAGCACCAGTCCCTCTTGCGACGGTTCTCGTCACACTCGCAGATGGCCGGTAAAGAGGTGGGAGACTCCCTGGGAGGCTACGATGTGGCACCCTCTTGCAGTGTCGAGCCCAGAGGTGATGTCACCGCTGGCACCAAGGGCACTCACATTGTCAAGGAGAGACTCAAGGAGATGGCCAAGTTGAAAGCAGCAGCAGAAGAAGGCACAGCTGCAGAGGCGAAGGCAGAAGGAGGTAAAAGAAAAGCAGTTGTTGTGAAGGAAGAAGAAGAAGTGAAAAAGGCAAGACATGAAGAAGGAGGCAATGAAGAAGAAGAGATAACAACACCCTGTTCACCATTGCTTGATCAGACAAATGAAACCAATGCAACAGCAGCTGTCACTGAGGAACAGTTTGCCCACCCAGAGACTACTGAGGAGAATGCCCAGAAACTTGAAAACACCACAACTGCTGCAGAGATGGAGGAATCAGAGAACCCATTGCAAGGGATGGAGGACAGCAACCAGCTAGGGGATGTATCGTCGCTTGAAGGCGATGATGTTGATATGAGCAATACATCTGTAAGGCTTATTGTCTTGTTTTGCACTCATTTTGTTTGTTTATTGACACTATAATCAGTAGTCATGATAGAAAAATGTATACAATAAATTTAATTTCAT